GTGATCGGATTAAGGGCGTGTGTCACCACTGCGGGGCTTGTGTTAAATGGCTTGCTCTCTGCTCTGATCCCCAGCCATGGCTGACAGAAAATAAACCTTTCACAATTTGACCAAAGAATCTGGGTAATGGTCTTTACTCTTGTCCAGTGGGATTAACATTACCCTACAGCAGCTACGCAATATGATGGATAAACTCAACAGTGAGACTCACACAAGGCAGATGGACTTGCCAGCATAGTGTGAAAGCAAGCAGGGAAAAGGAGAAGCTTTTCTCTAGACCTTTTTATCTGGGGTCACCAAAAGGGGCTCCCCATATTCAGGGTGGATCTCTCCTCTATATAACTTGATCTTGGAAGTCCCTCACGGGCATGCCCAGTGTCTTGTCTGTTTGTTGGTTCCAGATCCAGTTAACACTGAAATTAGACGTCAACCATCACCAGCTTCAACATGTTCAGTGCTCAGATGGTGGATCATGAAAAATATGACCCTTATGCAAGCAGAGAGTCCCTCACCTCTCAGTGAGAGCATTCCTGAAGGCCTGACAAAGAGGATATAGAAAGTTGGCTCTTGTTTCCAGGGTGCATGCAGTCTCTCAGATGCCTCCTAATCTACTGCTTCATATTTTTTGTAAAAAAAAAAAAAAATTCTTTATTTCTATGTATATGGGTGTTTTGTTTGCATGCACATCTGTGCACCACATGCATGCTGTATCCAAGGAGTGCAGATGCCCTGGAACCAGAGTTACACACGGTTGTTAGCCTACTGTGGATGCTGGGAATCAAATTCAGGTCCTCTGAAGAGAAGCCAAGTGCTCTCAACCACCATCTTTCCAGCCCCAAGCAATTATACTCCTGATGTGTGTACTAACGAGTTTTATGTCAATTTGACATACAAACTAGAGTTATCTGAAAGGAGGGAATCTCAATTGAGAAAATGCCTCCATAAGATCTGGTTATAAGGCATTTTCTCATTAGTGACCAATGTGGGAGGGCCCAGCCCATTGTGGAAAGTTCCATCCCTGGGCTGCTGGTCCTGGGTTCTATGAGAAAGAAGGCTGAGCAAGCCATGAGGAGCTTGCCAGTAAGCAGCTCCTCTCAATGACACCTCTGCATGGATTCCAGTCTCCAGGTTCCTACCCTGTGTGAGTTCCTGTCCTGACTTCCTTAGATGATGAACAGAGCTGTGGAAGTGTGAGCTGAACAAACCCTTTCCTCCCCACCTTGCCTTTTGGTCCTGGTGTTTCCTTGCAGCGATGGAAACCCTGACTAAGACAGTGTGTCAACCCAGCCAACCATTAGATGCAATCCTTGTTTGCTTTCTTTGCTGGGACAAACACTGTGGCCAAAAGCATCTCAGAGTGGACAGGGTTTATCTGGATTGCAGGTTACAGCCTGTCCTTGGAGCTGGAGACAGAAACTGAAGCAGAGACCATGAGACATGCTCGCTGACCAGCTCTCTCTGGCTTCCTGGGTAAGCTGCTTTTATACACCCCAGACATACCTGCCTAAGAGTGGCAGTGTCCACAGTGAGCTGGGCCATCCTGTAATCTGTGCAGCACCCACTGCTTAGGTCCTAGAACCCTGGCTAGGGCCAGTGAGGGAATGAACAAAGGACAGACACACAGACAATGAAGCTGGGATAAGGTGGGTTTCTCTAATGCCACTGACACCTCCACATCCTGGGACCTCCACATGTTAACAGGAACAGCAGAGAAGGGGTTAGCCTGTGTGGGTACGAGGTCTGTATAGGTGAGCAGTCTCAGGCTATAAACACCCAGGATCAGGAAGCCACAGTTGGTGATCTCTGCACACATTGATCAATAGATCACAGACACGCAGATGTGGACTCCTAAGTTTTGAAAGCTTTGCCATCCATCTTGAGTCAGGCTGTATTGAAATGGCCTTGTCAATGTTCCATGGGCCGTTAGTTCTTGGAGTCCTCAACCGGCCATGCCCATGTCAAAATACACATTCTCCCACTCACCCACTCACTCACTTCCTCTGCTCCCTACAAATAAGCCATCAAGGAAATGCCCACAAACATACCCACAGGCCATTCTGATGGAGGTAATTAATGCCTGGCACGAGGCTCACTCTTCCCAGGTGTACATTGACAAGATTAGCCCCCACAGAAAGCAAACCTGTATTTGTAGTTGGTTATGTGCTGTCAGCAACACCAGCCACAGAAGACACATCTGGATTATTTTGATACTTTTAGTTTTATGTGTATGAGTATTTTGTACGTATGTCTGTGCACAACTGTGCAGTGCCCATGGAGGCCAGAAGAGGGCGACAGATCCCCTGGAACTGCAGTCAGATGGTTGTGAGCAACCGTGTGGGAACTGGGAACCAAACTTGTCCTCTTAACCATTGACCCACCATCTGGTTATTTTTGAGGTAGATCATGGGGCTCATTAACTCCTACTGCAGGCACCACCTGCAAGAACGTTTCTAGAGGTTGAAGAGGGCGGCTGCTGCACTGGTGTTTTGGAAGAGCTAAGGGGTCACATTGGTTACGGGATTTGAATCTTAGGAACTCTTGTCAGACATCCCCCTCCACCTGTTTGAGTTTTTACTGGGTAACTAAACCCACAGTGACATGTCCTTCCTAGTCAGGGTTTCTATTGCTGTGATGACACACCATGACCAAAAAAACTTGAGGAAAAGGTTTGTTCAGTTTTCATACACAGCGCTGTTCGCCATCGAAGGAGGTCAGGGCAGGAACTCACACTGCACAGGAACCTGGAGGCAGGAGCTCATGCAGAGGCCATGAGGAGTGCTCCTTACTGCCTTGCTCCTCAGGGTTTGTTCAGCCTCCTTTTATTTTCTACCCTGTGGTTTTTCAAGACAAGGTTTCTCTGTGTAGCTCTGGCTGTACTGGAACTTCAGATTCAGGGATCCACCTGCCTCTGCTGCCCAAGTGCTGGGATTAAAGGTGTTTGCTACTATGCCCAGCTCTGGGCCTGCTTTCTTATAGAACCCAAGACCACCAGCCCAGGGATGGCACCAACCAGTGGGCTAGGCCCTCCCTCATGAGTTACTTAATAAGAAAATGCTTGCCAGGTTGTGGTGGCACACCTTTAATCCCAGCACTTGAAAGGCAGAGGCAGGTGGATAACTGAGTTCAAAGCCAGCCTGGTCTACCAAGTTCCAAGATAGCCAGAGCTACACACACAGTTTTTTTTTTTTTTTTTGGGGGGGGGGGGGGAGGAGAGGAGAGAGGAAGTGCCCTACAGGCTTTCCTGCAGCCTGATCTTCTGGCAGCATTTTCTTAGTCAAGGCTTCCCCCTCTCAGATGGCTTCGGCTTCTGTCAAGCGGACATAAACTATCTGCGGTTGACAGGAAGGGGACTGTAATGGTAACTGAGTGGGGGGACCAGCAAGGCTCGTCTGGAGTTTTCTGGATTTCTCTGTGAAAATCTACCAGAAATGGGGATCTCAAGCAGGAGAGATGGCTAAGTGGTAAGAGCACCTGATGCTCTCACAGAAGACCCAGGTTTGATGGCTAGCGTTCATGTCAGGTAGCCCTCATGACCACCTGTGACTCCAGTTCCAGAGGACACAGAGGCCCTCTTCTGGCCGACATGGGCATTGCACATTTGGTGTATTTACACACATACAATCAAAACACACATACAATAATCTGAAAATAAAAACAAAGAACCTAACAGAGACTGAAGCATTCGGCCTTATCTAAAGCACTCCAGCCTCATGTGAGGACCTGACCTTGGCAAAGCCTCTAAGTCTTGGACTGTTGTTCTCTGCAGAGATCCTCCTTGACAGCTCAGTAGAGATGCACGGGGAGGGGTACCAAAGCTACGGGGCTGGCCAGCAGCTGCTCCTCCCCAGCAATCCTGGGTTCTCAGGCATGTTTCTCTGAAGACATCCATTTCCCCAGCTGACCAAGAGTCCTGCCCCTTCTGAGCCACACCTGCCCACAGGCTCTTCCAGTCACAGAAAAACCAGCACTCTTACACAGGCTCGGGGTGGGCAGGACTTTTGTTATATATGTGGAAAGCTCAGCCACTCAGAACTGCTTGACACTCACAGTGTCATGCCAAGGCTCTGAGGACACACAGGTGCCCAGGCCTGCTAGAGAGGACAGTCCCTCAGACAATACAAGGCAGCATAGGAAAAAGGTCATTCTGGGAGCATGCGGGAAACAGAAATCAGTATTTGAGGCAGGTCGGTGTGAACATTCCAGTCAGGTGGACCTGGGTGTGAACAACCCCTCAGAATGCCTGTGAGTGCGGAGGAGGCTGGCTGCACACCAGCATTCTAAAGCAACTGAACTGCCAGGATCTGAAATCTCAAACCAGCAACACAGGTTGCAGCCTCTGTATGGCCAGAACGGTCAGGGCCATGGGTGGGTGCCTCATCCAGGCCTGGCCCTGAAGACACTATGCTGCTCACTCTGGCCTGTCACACTTTCACCTGACACCTCCTGCCCCTGCCCCTCCGGGGATCCAGGGACATGACCAAGAACCCCAGGATAAACATGGAACAGGTACAGATCCATGTCTGAGGTAAGAAACTTCACACATGACCTTCTAGACTCAGATCAAACAGGAAAAATGAAGACAGGCTTCAGCCCTGCCCTGGGTGATGCTGTGTCCTTTCATCTCCCCGACCCAGGGACCCAGGTTCTCTGCACAGCTGAGCTGCCGGGGGAGGAGATGCCACAGCTGCCCCAGGCCCTGCTTAGAAGTGCAGGACGCCTGGGAGGCACAGGTCCTGGTGCTGGAAACCCAGAAGCTGAGGGAGCAGATGAGATGCCGGGACCAGGACCATGTTCTCTCTACAACCCGACTCCAGGCACAGTGTCCCTCAGTCACCTCCCACAGCCACTTTAAGACGGGAGTGACACCAGGAAGGGAAATCAGGAAGGGAAGCCCACTGGGGAGCCCCAGCCTCTTGGGTTTGGACCATCCTCACTTTGACCTGCCCCACAACAGGGCTCAGAATCAAGCCCTGAGCAGTACAGACGGAGCACTACACACACCACAGACACAGCTGTTTCATTCTTCGTTTTGTTAAAAAAACAAACAAACAAACAAACAAACAACTCTGATAAATCAGGAAGAGGTGTAGGAGTGGTGATGTTGCAGAGGGAAGCGTGGACAGGATAGGATGAGGGCTGGTGGGGGCGGGGCCAGTGGTGTCTCCACCCTGATCCCTGGTGTCCTCTTCTGACTGGACAGACAGACTGCCACAGTCCAGAGTGGGTGATTCCTCTACCGCGTCTGTTCAACTGAAGAAAAACAGCAGCAGTCACAACAAGACACAAAAGGGAAATATCCCCCCATGCATGCATGCACGCTCTCACTCATGCAAGCAACTGTTGGTGTTGCAGGTTCAGAGGATCCACTTGGAGTGGAGAGAAGAGAAACCCTGATCAAGACAGACCCACACAAAGGTCCACAAAGCAGCCTGAAAACTCCAGAGGGGCAGCTGCAGCCACTCAGCACCGGAGGTCACTACCCAGAGCAGGTTTACATGGGGCACTAACTGCTGTGGAGCAATCCTCTTCTACACTATGAATATGTATTACTCTCATTGGTTAATATAAAGCTGACAGGCTGTTAGCTGGGCAGGAAGTTAGGTGGGAAAGCCAAACTGAGATTGATGGGAAGAAGGCGGCAGAAGTGGCCAGCCAGATACAGAGGAAGAATGCTTCACTGAGAAAAGTATCAAGCCATGTGGCTAGACACAGATAAGAATTATGGGTTAGCTGGGCAGTGGCGGCGCACACCTTTAATCCCAGCACTCCAGAGGCAGAGCCGGGCAGATCTCTGTGAGTTCAAAGCCAGCCTGGTCTACAGAGCGAGATCCAGGACAGGCACCAAAACTACACAGAGAAACCCTGTCTCGAAAAAACCAATAATAAAAAAGATGCTTCCGTGAGTAAAGGTGCATGTCAGCAAGCCTGGCAACCTGAGTTCACCCCAAAGAATCCACAGGGTAGAGGACAGCCTCAAGTTAGCCTCAAGTTGTCCTCTGATCTCTACCTATGTTGTGCATGTACATACACACATACACACACACACACACACACACACAGTATTAAAAGTTAAAAACCGCGCAAAGCTACCCAGAGAAACCCTGTCTTGTAAAACCAAAAAAAAAACAAAACCCAAAACCAAACCAAAGGGAAGAGGAGGCAGCAGGGTGAGGGTGTGCTCACTGTAGGAGGAGATGTCGATCTCATCAGGCAGCTCGCTGATGTTGACCTCAAAGCGGTCCTGCACGTCATTGAGGATCTTAGCATCATTCTCATCCGACACAAATGTGATGGCCAAGCCCTTGGTACCAAACCGGCCTGCTCTGGCCACCTGGAAGGAGACCAGGGGAAGATCACAAGCCTCAAGGAGACAGACAGCAGAGGAAGGTGCACACAACACACACACAGGAAATGGGGTGAGGGCGGGCAGCTTACCCGGTGTAGGTAGGTGTCCGAGTCCTCTGGCATGTCATAGTTGAAGGCGATGTTCACACGCTCAATGTCCATGCCTCGGCCAAACAGGTTGGTAGCCACAAGAATCCGCCTCTGGAAATCCTTGAACTGCTGATACCGAGACAGCCTTTGTGAGGAAGGAGATGAAAAGATTGAGGTCCCTTCTCACCACACCTTTTCCTCCCCAGGACACAAAGCCCTCGTCTCCACTCACCTCTCCTCCTGGGGCATCCCACGGTGGATAGCAATGGCTGGGAAGTTCTGCTCCACTAGAAGCTGGGCCAGGGCGATGCACCTCTGCACGGACTTCACAAAGATCACCACCTGGGGAGCACGAGCATGATGTATGTACAAGTTTCCCAGAATATCACCTTTTTTGTTTTTAAAGTTTGTGTGTATGGGTGTTTTGCCTGCATGTATGCCTGTGCACATGCATGCCTAGGGCCTGGAGAGCCAAAAGAAGACACTGGACCCTCTTCCCCTGCCAACTGCAGTCATATGACTGGGAGCTGACATGTGAGAACTGAACTTGGGAACCCTGGAAGAACAAATGTGCTCTTAACCTCTGAGCCACTTCTCCAGCCCCAGGAATCTCACTGTTGAAATTTTTTAAATGTATGTATCTGTGTGTTTGTGTGAATATATGCAGGTGTGTGCAGGTCCCCTCAAGGCCAGAAGAGTGTGCTGCATACCCTGGGGCCAGTTACAGGCCTAGGTGCCAGGGAGTGAGTCGGATCCTCTCAAAGAGCAGGAGGTTTGTTCTGAGACAAGGTTTCTCTAAGTAGCCCTAGTTGTCCTTAAACAGATTATGTAGCCTAGGCAAGGACCAACCTTGAACTCACAAAGATCCCCTGTCTCTGACTACCCAATGCTTGGGATTAAAGATCTATGCCAGCACACCTGGCAGCTTTTTTCCCCCTTATCTTTAGTTTCTCTGTGTATCCCCTGGTTGTCCTGGAACTCAACTCTATAGACCAGGTTGGCCCTGATCTCAAGAGACCTGCCTGCCTCTGCCTCCCAAGAGCTGAGATTAAATGCAAATGCCAACACCACCCAGTAGAATTTCTAAAAGAATTCCTCAGTCCCTTATTCAATCTCAAATCTTCCTTCATAAATGTTCTTTTCTGCTCTTGAACCCAACTGCCTGGTATGTGAGCTGCCATGGACATAAGACCTTAAACGGACACACACAAGGGTGAGGCAACCTCAGGAAAATGCTAAGAATTCGAACTACAGTCTAGAAAGGCAGATGATCCTCTTCAAACATTAAGAACCCACAGTGGCTCTGCAGCCAGCTTAGCAGAGGCTGACACTGATGCTCTGAGGTGAGCACAGGAGACGACAGCAGCCTCCACCCCAGTACCCATCCCAAGGCTTTTCTCCACTTACTGAGTCACCAAGTTCTCTACCTCAGACTCTCACCCAGCCACTCCACTTCCCACTGCAGACCTGTTCCTCCACTCTCACCTCTTCACATACTTGGCTCCTTCAATCACAGGCTACTTTTACACACACAGGCTCGGCCACAGCTGGAGATGTCCAGTGCTCACACCCACATAGACCCTCAATACTGACCTGGTTGAACTCGAGGACATCAAGAAGGTCAAAGAGCTTCCGGTTCTTCTCGTTGTCCTTCAGTTTCACGTAGTATTGCTGCAACCCGTGCAGCGTCAACTTGGTCTCGTCATCCACGAAGATCTCCATAGGCTGAGGGAAGGAGGGGTGGGGCAGGAGGAGGGCAGAGTGGGGGGGTTAAACCTGGGGGGGGTGGAGGACGCTGATCTCCAGTTCACCCCATGGATGGATGGGGAGGAGAGAGAAGACTGAAAACCCCTCCCCATCACACTCTACTGAGGACCCTTTCCAGTTAGATCTGGTAGCATCTACATCAGCTGCATTTTAAGAAGCCTGAGAGTGGTCAGAGGAGATGGAACTCTGCACAGAGCAGGGATGCTCCCAGTTGCAAGGTGCCAGTGTCAGATGAGATGGTGGGGGGAAAGAGACCAGGGGGAGATGGTGCTCAAGAGAGAGCATGGCCAGAGCACACAGGAGAGGCAGTGGTCATGGGGCCTGGGCACTGCCACCAGAACAGGAAGGACGACTGCCCCACTCAGCTGTCCTCTCAATGCACCTCAGCAAATGTCCTCAGGACCACACGGTTGCAATGGACAAAGTCAAAAAGCCACTCAAACCCAGGGTTAGTGGCACACTGTGATCCCAGCTCTCGGTGGTTGAGGTAAAGTCTTTTAAAATGTCATTAAAGAGAAGAGGTGAGGGACATCCTGAACTCAAACCACTAGAGCCAACTTTAGAAGAGACTCATCTCTAAAGTCAGAGTCAAACCATGTGCATGTTCAAGGTGAGGGATCAACACAGGAAGTGCAGCTAGACAACAGGAAGTGCAGCTTTCTCACAACTTCCTCGGCTAGTCCGGGCCACCTTCTGGAGTTAACTCAATCAGCACATTTTTGCCTCTTCCTGACGTTCTCTCTCTTCTGGTACCAGGCAAAGACACTAAGCAGCTTGTCCTGACCCTCTGGGTTTCCCTTTCTCTGGAGCCTCACTCCCTGCAGGCGCCTGCAGATCACCGAGCTTCTGGAACTCTCACTAAAAAGAGCATGGCTTCTCTCTTCCTCTTCCCCATCAGCTGTGAGATTTACAGCTTCCCTGCCCTGTTGCTTTTCTCTGAAAATCTAATACAATGATCTTTTACCATCAAAGGCGAAAAGGGCAATAGAAAGAATTGACCTTACATTTTATAAAGGAAATATATACCTAGCCCTAACCCTTGAAGGGGAGGACCATAAACACGGAAACAGACACAGTTAACTGCAGGCAGGACTTCCCTACTTTCCATACCGTCTTGAGAGACAGTTCACATAGAGCCAGGGATGAAGAGGGGGTGTCACAGAAGCCTCTTCCAGAAAGCAGGCTGGCAAGGCAGCTCCCCTAGTAAGACTCACAGCCTCCTCCTAATTCTTCCCCAAGCCCAGCCCAAAAGAAAGCCATCTTCTCAAGGGATGGAGCGGATCAGGGAGGGAGGGACGCCCACTGCTCAGTCTCAGCACTGACACCCATGAACATCTCAGTGCAGCTTCCCACAGGACTTTTCCCATCACCCTCTTTAAAAAAAAAAAAAAAAAAAAAGAGGAAAAAAAATCCACCACCCCACTCAGGACAGCCCTCCCAACAAGAACGGGGAAAATGGGGTACAGCACATTAGGTTCAGGAAAAAACCGGGAACAGAAAGAGAGGCTGGTTTGGTCCTCAGCATCCTGGTCAGGCTCCCGGGGCCTCCGCTGCTGCCATCCACCGCTCGCAGTCTGTACTCTCCCGCCGTGCCTCAGTGCTTCTCTGCTGCCAGCTCACATCAACCAAGGCTCCGATGGGCGCAAGGAGGTATGGGCAGGAGGAGGAGGGGACGGGGTCGAGGTGCCAAAGGCCCCCGCCCCTGGAGGTTGGGAGGGGCGGATGATGGTGCTGTTTGTTTGCTCTTCTTCTGGACAGGCCCTGCCACCTGACTGACTGTCCTTCTCTTGCGCTCCTGCCACTGACACGTGTGAGTTTCGGTGAGCAGAGGTTCCAGCTCAACGCTCCATGCCACCTGGAGAGTGTGTGGCTGTGGGGGTGTGTAGGAGACGACGGGCGGGTGATAGGGCACAAAATCTTGCCCTACCCCCGACAGGGAGAAGAGGTTCAAAAATGTGTGATTTAAAATGTCAAATACTACCCGCTCTCACGTTAACCCGACCAAGTCTTCCGGAGTTTCCCTGGCGCGCACAGACCCTATCACTAACTGTCTCTGCCTCTGTGGTTTTCTTCAAGGAGTCCTCACTCCCAGATAGACACAAGCTCCTTTCTTGGTGCTTGAAGGACAAGGGAGTCTGGAGGAAGAGGGCGAGGAGGGGGAGGAGGCATCGGGCGGGGAGTGGAGGGAGAGAAGGTAGAAGGGTATTTACATCTTGCATGAACTTGCGGCAGACTGGCCGGATCTCTTTGCTCAAGGTAGCACTGAACATCATGACCTGCTTCTCATGGGGGGTCATGCGAAAAATTTCCTGGACATCCCGACGCATGTCTGCAGGAAAAGAATCAGCAGAAGGGAATGAGTCTGTGATGTAAATGCAGTGAGGCCACAGGCAATGAAAATCCAGAGGAAGTCACTCTAGAAACCTGGCCTCCTCTCTTCATTACCTCCAGGAACAAGCCAGGCTTGGTGGCGCATGCCTGTGATCCCAGCCCTTAGGAGGTGGAGGCAGGAGGATTAGGAGCTATGTACTGAGTTTTGAGATCAGCCTAGGCTACTGAGATTGCTTTAAAAAAAAAAATAACATGAAAAAAGCAATACATTTAGAAAGGTACTTGGGGTCAGGCTCCTTTCCTTTTTTTTGGCCAAGAAATGTAACTGAACCTAAAATCCAAATTTATAAATTGGAGGCAAAATCCACCAAAGGCTCAGGAACAGCAGCCCTTAAACACAGAGTATGAGGCTGGAGAGAGGCCCAGCCTGTAAGAGCCCTTGCTGCTACTCCAGAAGACCTGGGTTAGGTTCCCAGCCTCCACAACTGCCTGTAACTTAGAGCTCCAGGGAAATCCAGTGCCGCTGTTCTCTATGGGAACACACACACGATTAAAAATAATCAACTCAGAGCTTGCTTCAGCAGCACAGACACTAAAACTAGAACTATACAGAGAAGATTAGCATGGCCCCTGCACAAGAATGACACAAAAATTTGTGAAGCATTCCATATAAAAAAAATAAACTTAATTCGTAAATACAAATTATTTTGCCATGTGTGGTAGTGCACCTCTTTAATCCCAGCACTCAGGAAGTAGCAGTGCTGATCTCTGAGTTGCCAGCCTGGTCCACACAGCAAGTTTCAGGCTAGCCAGAGCTATACAGTGAAAAAACAGGACTCTGAAGACCAGCTCTTCTCCCTACACCAGTCTACAACGCACTTACTCTGGACATCAGTCCACTCTGCTCCTTCACCTTCAACTCTAGTCTTACCCCCTGTTTGTTCAGGCAAATATGGCCCATCTAGTGCCCACCATCTTGGACAGCCAAAGGCCATTTGGAAAGACCTCTCCCGGCCTACATGCTTCCCTACGCTCCCAACTAGCCAAAACCAAATTCTTTTTCTGTTTTACTTTGTTTTTTTTAAATTTTGTTTTAAAGGTAGGGTCTTACTATGTAGCCCTGGGCTGGCCTGTAATTCATAAAGATCCACCTGAGATTAAAGGCACGCAAGTTTTTTTGTTTTGATTTTGATTTTTGGAGACAGAATTTCAGTGTGTAGTCCTAGTTGTCCTTGAACTTGCTCTGTAGACCAGGCTGGCCTCCAACTTAGAGATCCACAGCCTTAGTTAGCCTTGTGCTGGGATTGAAAGTGTGCACCACCACCGAGCACGAGGTCATTTTAATTTATGTTATGTATGTGGGTGCTGCCCGCATGTGACATCTATGTGCTCACAGAAGGCAGAGGAGGGCTTTGGATCCCCTGGAACTGGCGGTGTATATGGTTACACACCGCCATGTGGAACGTGTTGGATGGAAGCTAGGTCCTCTGGAAGAGCAGCCAGTTCTCTTAACCACTGAGCCCTCTCTCCAGCTCTCACCCCATGAAAATCTTATAATGTATAGGTGTTTTGCCTCCATTTTTGGTCTGTGCTCCACTTTCATATGGTGTCCACGGAGACCAAGAGGCAGGAGATCTTGAATTACTACACTGTTACGAGGTGACAGGTAGGTGCTGAGATCAAACCCAGGTCCTCTAAAGGAGCAGCCAGTGCTCTTAACTGATGAACCATTTCTTTAGCACTGCCCAGCAGAATTCTTTTAACCCCACTTGGCACACTACAACACCAGAACACATGACCTATGAACACTCACCAGATGAATTCCAGAATTTAACTCTAGAAACCTGCTTATTTACAAGTTTCTGATCACACACACTAAACTGCAGCGGTTCTCAACCTGTGGGTCGAGACCCCGGGAGGGGGTCGAATGACCTTTTACAAGGGTCGCATATCAGATATTTACATTACGATTCATAGCAGCAGCAAAATTACAGTTATAAAGTAGCAACAAAAATAATGTTATGGTTGGGGGTCACCACAACATGAGGAACTATATTAAAGGGCTGCAGCATTAGAAAGGCTGAGAACCACTTCTACACTGGGATGGAGGGATAGGCACAACAGGCCAGCATGCAAAAGGCCCTGGGTTCAATGCCCAACACCAGGGGAAGAAAGGAAATGCAGAGCCATCAGTCATGGGTGATAGATCAGAGTCGTCCTTGCACACAAGTGCTCCTGTGTCAAACAAACATCATCTGGCTCCAAGGGTGCTCCCCAAACCACCTCAGCCCAGGCCCAAGCCCGGCCACTCACCGAGCTGTTCAAGCATCTTGTCACATTCGTCCAAGATAAAGTGTTTAATGTGCTTGAGGTTCAGGCTCTTATTTCGAGCCAGGGCTAGAATTCGGCCAGGAGTCCCCACGACAATGTGCGGGCAGTTCTTCTTCAGCACCTCTTCATCCTTCTTGATAGACAGACCACCAAAAAACACTGCCACCTGTCAGCCAATAGGAAAGAGGTCTCTCAAGAAAGGAAAAGGCTCCAGTCTCCCCGGCCCTATTGTCTTCCTTTCTTCTTCTGAGATCAGGTCTCGCCATGTATCCCAGGCCGTCCTCTGCCTCACTGTGGATCAGCCTGTCTCTGCTACCCACGTGCTGTCACCGATGTCCCACTCTTAGCTGACTGTAAACCAGTTAGCTTTCAGACCTGCAAGGGCTCGTGAGCCTCCAAACAGCCAGGTAAGAAGCAAAGGGGGGCTGAAGAGATGGCTCAGAGGTTAGAGCACCAGCTGCTCTTCCAGAGGTCCTGAGTTCAGTTCCCAGCAACCACATGGTGGCTCACAACCATCTGTAATGAGATCTGGTGCCCTCTTCTGGCATAAAGGTGTACATGCAGACAGAGCACTGTGTACATAATTAATAAATAAAATCTTTAAAAAAAAAAAAAGAGAAGCAAAGGGTCCTGCTCAGCTCTGCAGGGCCGACTGGGGGGGGGGGGCTTAAGATGAGGGTTCAGTCCCTTTGCCCCCACCCAAACACTTTCTTTTGAGACAGGAACGCTCTACATAGCCCTGGATGACCTACACAGTAAGGGACATGTGACTCTAAAGCCATGGCTTCCTTAGAAGAATGGAGACAGCAAGGTAAGTGTGAGGTCTCTCTCTCTCTCTCTCTCTCTCTCTCTCTCTCTCTCTCTCTCTCTCTCACACACACACACACACACACACACACCCCAAATACTAAGCTTTCCTTGCGACAGAGTCAGCGTGGCGGCTTTGGCTGCCCTGGAGAGTCTGCCTGCGTCTGCCTCCGGAGTCCCGCCTTGTGTAAACCACTAGGTGAAGCTGGGATCTGAGCCTTAATACTTCATCAAGTAACAGTTTCAAGGGGAAAGGAACAATCCAGAAACACACTGTCACATGCTTATTCTTTTTTTAAGATTTATTTATTACGTACACAGTGTTCTGTCTGCACGTATGACTGCAGGCCAGAAGAGGGCACCAGATCTCATTACAGATGGTTGTGAGCCACCATGTGGTTGCTGGGAATTGAACTCAGGACCTCTGGAAGAGCAGCCAGTGCTCTAACCTCTGAGCCGTCTCTCCAGCCCTATCCAATGCTTATTCTATGGTAACCTCTTCCCATTCTCACTCCAAAACCACTAATAATTAACAAGGTTTGTGGCAAACAGGAGCATCCCTGCCCAAAATGTTTTACCTTGTATCTACTAAGCTTTCAAATGTAAGTTTTGGAGGAAAGAGCAAGCTAAACCTAGGAGACCAGACAGGTCCCAGGAGGATACTTTGTTGCAGAACAAAGGAAAAGGGCAGACAATTCTGATTTTATAACTAGTAGGTGACTGGGGGGGTGGGGGGTGGGGGAGATGGCCATAGGGTACTCAGCCTAACTAGCTGGAACTACAGGCTCACACACCATACCCAGCGTCACCCCCACCCCCACCCAAGACCAAAAACATGTGCCACCACACCTGGCCCAGCCTCGTATTTGATCCCAACCCTAAGAGCATTCTGGATGGAACATGGAGGCCCATGTCTTTTATGCCAGCATTCGGAAGACAGAAGCATGTAGATTGCTGAGTTCAAGGCCAGCTTGGTCTACAAATCAAGTTCCAGGACAGCCATGGGTACAGGGAAACCCTGTCTCAAAAAACTAAATAGAGTAATGGGGAATGAAGGAAAAATAAAAATTAAAAACAGTTTGGGTGGTGGTGACGCACACCTTTAATGCCAGCACTGGGAGGCAGAGGCAGGTGAATCTGAGTTTGAGGCCAGCCTGGTCTACAGAGTGAGTTCCAGGACAGCCAGGGCTACACAGAGAAACCCTGTTTAAATAAATAAAATCTATCATGCTGTGTATCTGATGTGTGGGGTTTGGGGCAAGTGCATGTGAGGGCCGCAGGGCACCTGTGAACCTGGCTCCTCCTTCCACCTTTACACGGTCTGAGGGTCAGATTAAAGTCTTCAGGCTCGTGCGGCAAATACTTCAACCAGAGGCATTTCTCCGGCCCCCACTTTGGTTTTTAAGAAATTGCGTTCAGTTTAGGGTCCTGCCTCAGAATGACTAGTTTAAAACATGACAGGCTCCAAAGCTACAGAGAAACCCTGTCTTGAAAAAAAACAAATACAGTGAGTGGGTGGTGGTGGCACCCTGCAACCCTGATCAAGCAGCAGCAGAGGAGAGCAAGCTCCTGTCCATGGTGAGATCCTTTCTTAACCAAACAAAACTACTATCTGTAAAAAAATATGAACAGGACTGTTGTCCCCACCCTAACCAGAATGGGACCTCTACACATCACCTCTCCACCTCCCGTCACAGGGCCATGTAGAACTAAGTACTTTCATCACAGCAGGCCACACACACCGAAGCACAGAAACACATCATCTCCAAGTTCCAAAACGATGCCAAGCTCCTGGCAAGGGCCAACACCAGGTTACACGGCCTTCTGACACCTTAAGGCCACACCAGAGCTGTTTAGAGCTTCTGCTCCTCTTGCCATGTCCACTCCCCAACTCAAGCAACCCACCAAGCAGTGCTCGAGAACAGAAGAGTGCTCCCGCCAAGTCGGGTGGCAAAGGCCTGTCCCAACTACTCAGGAAGCTGTGGCAGGTGGCGCCAAGCTCAAGGCCTACCCGGGTCATTTGGTAAGAGTCAATCTTAGGGGGTAGCTCAGTAGCAGACTGTTCACTTAGCAGCTCGGGGCTCTGGAATCAGATTTACAATACCACAAAAAATAAACAAACAAAAGCGTGCTGTGGCAGCATCACCTAAAGCCTCACTGTGAACTCTCAGGACACTGTACCCACAAGGGCAGCTACAGAAGAGCCTGCAGTATACTAGGGCTTCCATGCAGCCTACAGGAACTCGTCAGTTACAGCAGTGCCTCCTACAGCCACTCAATGCCTTAGGGCAGTAAGCTGTTGCCCACACCTTCCCTGTCCCTTACCTTGACATTCGGCATGTACTTGGAGAAGCGCTCATATTCCTTGCTGATCTGAAAAGCCAGCTCCCTGGTGTGGCACATCACCAGCACAGACACCTACGAGGGAGCAAATGGAGACAATGAACTCAGTCCTCAGTCATGCTCTCTCCAGAGCGACTGTCACAAAAGCATCTGGAAAACTGTGGGTGACACCAATTCTGAGATTTAAACCATGAAGCCCATGCTGCTACAGAGCATCCCCTGAACTGAAAGCATCACGTAGCCTTCCAGTGCGTCGACCTCAAAGCCCTCCCAGCACTGCCCCAACATACCTGCCCAGTGATTGGCTCCAGCTGCTGCAGCGTGGCCAAGACGAACACTGCTGTCTTTCCCATGCCTGATTTGGCCTGGCACAGGACGTCCATCCCCAGAATGGCCTGCGGGATGCATTCATGCTGGACTAGAAGGAAAAGGGGGAGAGAGAGACTTTTTGCACCATGCCAAACCCTTTTCTTCCCAGTTGATATTCCAGATTTTAACTGGTCCGTCTGTCCCGAGTCACATTTACACTCAAATCAAACTCTGTCTTAGCCTCAGGCCTCCTCGATGCCACACCCTCTTGCACCTACCAACAACTCACCTTCAATGTTCCTGGCTGTCTTTCTCTTCCTTACCCTGTATGCCTACCACAGGCCATTCCTCCTACATAGGTTGCTTTTGGGTCACGAAACCGTGCAACCCTGGACAAAATGAAGGACTTGGTACCTGACCCAGAAGCCAGCACCTTTAAACTGATTATTAAGGTTTTCAGAGACCACAGATGGCCTGGCCTGAAAACAGGAACTACAGATCCAGCCAGGCCCTCTCTGAAAGTCCAAACAGCCAGAAAGATGAAGACCAAGCAAACAGAAAAGCCAGGCAGTGAACAAATGGCAGTCCTGTCTGACCAAAGCCAACAAGCACTTCCAGTGCTAACATCTGGGTACATTCTCGTCGCCTGGCCTATCCTAAATATAAATTCCACCCTTACAATGCTTAACTGAGGTCTCTACGCCCAACAATAAAACGTACCCTCGGATGGATGCTCAAAGCCACAGTCAACGATGGCCCGGAGCAGCTCTGGCTTGAGCAGGAAGTCTCGGAAGCCGGAGCTGTGGATGGAGACGTAGGAGCCCTTGACATCTTTCTTGGCAGGAGCTTCGGTCCCATCTCCCCCCGCTGCTGTCTCCACTTCATCGTCTTCGTAGTCCAAGAGCTCGTTGTCCACATCGTTCTCTGCCATGATTGGGCCGGCAGGGGGAGAAGGGAGGTCTTTGGGCAAGTGGTCCCAGAGCAGGTGAGAAAGCAAGGGGAAAGAGAGGGGGCTGAGGAACAGCAGTGGGAAAGACACTAGTTTTCTGACAGAAGAGCTGGGAGAGAGACAACAACAACAACAAAAAACCAGAAAAACTCATCAGTCACGAACAGACCCACCACTTCTTGTCCACCCCCACCTCCTTCCCGTTTTCCCTAAACCACAAACCTTTGCCCTGAAAGAAAAGTAACAGGGATAACACAGCACACAAATGAACACCCAATGGGAAGAACGGAGAGTGGTCTCGGGTTACCAGATTTAGGATCACACCCAAGAGACCACGAAAACATGAGCACCACTAACGGCTCGCGGGAGGGTGGAAACGCCAAGGGCCAGAGGAGACATCAGAGGCCGCGCTCTCCCTAACGCGGGGTGCATCCCCACCATCAGCCATCAGTCAAGGGTGATAGATAAAGGTCAGCACTGCGCCCAGCGCTCACTTCCCATTTGCAAACATCATGTGGCTGCTATTCACCTGTTGGGGAACACCTGGGAGCCCAGTACTGGGGAGGCAGAAGCGGGAGGGTGGGCGGGAGGGAAGGCCGGCCTGCTGTGATCAACAGGAGGTGCAGGGGTATGCATGGCTCGATGCGGCCCCCCCCCCAAAAAATACAAAAACCTGGGACGTACCCAGTTAAATGGTGGTGCGCGCTTAGCACTGCCAGGGGCCCTAAGGGTCGGCCGAGCGCTACGAAGGCAGGTTTTAAAAGTCACAAAAAGGAGCAGGGTCACAGCTGAGAAGCATGCAACCCACTCGGGCTTGAGGACGTGCCGAGGGGTCCCGGGTAAGACACCGTTCCGAGCAATACGCGACACCACCGGCCACGCACCAAGGTGACCCTTTGGAGAGCTCCCAATGGGGGTGGGCAAGCAGAGGTCAGGGAGCCAACGGGCCCCGCGGCGGGCTCCTCCTTCTCACCCCGCCGCGGGCCGGGGAAAGGCCTGCAGGGGACGGGGCGGCCCCGCCCTCCGCGGAGCGCCGCCCGCCTCCGGTCGCCGCGGCCTCGGGCGGGAAAGGGGCCCCCAGGAACACCCAGGCAACAGGGGCGCACAATGGCGGCCGAGGCCACCATCTTGGATCGCCGCCCCTTGTCTCCCCGTCCCCCACCGAGGTGCGCTGGCAGAAAGGGGGTGAAAACAACGGGGCTGAGTCCCCGACGACGCGCCCGCGGCCGGACCACCGCCCGGGCTAGGGGTATCAGGGGCGCGTGCGGCGGGGCGCGGCGCGGGGACGGCAGATGGCGGCGGATGGTGCGCAAGGCCGGGGCTTACCTAAGCACTGCGAGCGTGTATGGCGGCGGCAACAGGGACGGAGGCGGGAACCTGCCTTCACTTCCGGTTCCAGGCTCCTTCTCTCCCCCCCCCCACCCCCCAGCCTCCCGCCTTCCCGGCGGCCAGGGCGCAGGCGCGGGGTGCCGGAAGCAGGCCCCGCCAAGGGCCCCCCCCGTGGCGCGCGCTCCGGGGCTGCCTTTGAAAAATGCCTCTTTGAAATTCATCCTCGGACGCCTCCGCGGCCGCCAGGGACGGAAGCGCGACGCGAAGCTCGCGTCTCTCCCCGAAATCCTCCCCCTTCTGATTTTCTACGCTTCTCCACACCCTTCCCCTCGGCGTTCGGTTTTGCTTTTGTTGTGTTGGGTTTTGTTTTTGCCACGCCAGGCTTCTCTCTGGCCACCTCTCTCTGGGCATCGAGGACTCCGCGGGCCGCGCGGGGAGCGTTTCTCACGGGGTCCTTAGCCTGGTAGTCAAGGTGACCCGGGGGTGGCTGGGCTCAGGCCTCCGCCGAGGAGGGTGCTGGGGCGGGGGTGGGGGGCATGATCACGCCCTTTACTGTTGTAGGGAGAAGGAGCAGGATTTACCCAAAACGACATGGGCAGCGTAGCAGCTTGGGAGATGGAGGTTTGCATTCTGTCCAAGCGTTGAAAAATAAACGGTGGGGTTTGAGGGCTATGCAGCTTCCCATAGTTGTATTCATTAGAGCAGAATGCTCTTAGTCCCACCACAACAGCGCCATGGTTCAGCCTGGATTTTTTCCCCCTACGTATATGGTACTCCCTCCTCGGAGATGCTGCATTCATCAGAAGCGATGTCCTGCGGACCCGCTGCATCCTAAATATAAGCGCGAGCTTCCCCTATCAGCACACGTCACCACTCAGTAGGTACGTTGTCACCAACCAGCTGGCCGCGTCCCGACCAACTCCGAAGCTCCCGGGATCCCTCAGCATCTGACACCTAGGGAGGCGCGTTGGCGTAGGAGCCGGTGGCGCCCTCTAGTGTTGGCGCTCACAGACGCCGCCGCTTTTGTGTTAGCCTAGGAGTAAGTGGGGATCCTTCACCCCGGTGAAGTAGGAAGTGCTGAAGCTCCAGAGAGTGAAGATCTGGGGTTTAGGGCTTTGAAGACAGTTCCCAGGAACTCTTCTAGTGACCTCGACGGCAGGCTCTCAGCCACTTCTTTCTTCCTGTTGTTACCAGCTCAGCCTAAAAGGCCAGAGAAGACCTCTCAAGGGAAGACTTTTATTGGACTTATCCCAGCTGACCCATCAAGTGAGTCAAACATTCTGCTTAGCAAAGGACATTTGCACCAACCACAGCAAACTCATGCAAATGAAGGCTTGGGTTTGCACCATCACACTATTGTCCCTTTAGCACCAGTCATCACACACACACACACACACACACACACACACACACACACACACATCCTCTGCTCCAGGACTATGGGCGGGAGGGGCATGAGACGATGACACAGAGACTGAATGTCATCTAGAGTCCATCAAGGCTTGTGATAGCAAAAAATCCTGTAACCAACTGTTTCAAACAGTCCTGGCTGAGGCCACACCTTCAGGAGCTGGAGCAATTAGCCGTCACCACTGTGTGGTTTTCTTAAAGTGTTCAAAATGGCTGGCTGTTTGACTGACGTCCTGTTTAAGGCAGCCAAGGCAGGAAGGAATTGTTCAATGGCTATCAGTAGAGAATCAAATTGCCCCACCTCCTGGTGTCTGCTTATTTACAGGAAAGGGGCATCAGAGGAGCACTTACAATGAAAACTTAAAGAACTCATTAACATTCATGGTGGTTTTTAACAATGCTTAAAGCCTGGGCCACTGGCCCAGAGCAGGGAGAGTCCCCTCGTGTGTCCTTCCTTTCTCTGTTAGGGAGTTTGAGTCTGCTGTACAGCCGAGACTAACCTCCAACTCTCAGTTCTCCCACCTCAGCCTTCAAGTGCTGGGATTAAAGGCAGTAGCATGACCTGCTCCACTATGCCTATAAAATATGCAAATAGAGAAATAAAGCAAGATGCCCAAAACAATACAGCCACAGGATGACACCAAGATGTAAGCATCCCTATTTCCCATCAAATCTGCCTCCCTACCTCAAAATTCCGGTTGATTTTGCATAGCTATTTCTTCAGGATTGAAACATTCCCTCCTCATGACATTAGAAAAGGTTCATAAAATTCAGAAAGAAAGTTGCAAGACCAGAATTCTTCTCCCAGATTATGTCACCAATAAAGAGTTCCTGCGTTATGTAGAGTTACGTAGAGAGCTCTGGTGATGGAGGACGACGCCTTTTTGATGAGAAGCTGCTCTGGTCTCCCTTGCTCCTATAAGTGACCCACCACCATGCTACTGCCAACGAGCCCCTTGGTCTGCCAGTCTAGACTTGGGTGGAGAAGTTTCTTAGGTCATTCATTAGGGCCTTTTTTTATGTCTGCCTACAGAAAAGTCATACAAGAAAAGACTAGGTTATCTCATTGATTCAAGGTGAAACAAGCTTGCCTTCATAGAGAAGAGAACAGTTCCAAGAATGGGAGTCATAGGAGAGCAGTTATCCACCCCGTGAGCATCATTTTATTCTACAGTGTTCGCCAGCTGCCAATCATGTGCCAAGTGCTGTCCTAGGCTCTGGGGACACAAGGGCCTATCATCAGATCTCTCTCCCTCCCCTCCCCTCCCCTCCTCTCCATACACACACACACACACACACACACACACACACACACACACACACACACAAACATCAGGTACTAATAAGCAGAGTAAAACAAGGGAAAGGTGCAGAGTGCTTGTTCTGACACGCCAACTTTTCTCTTACAGTTATCATATGCAGCCCTCGGTTCTGAGGAGCCACACATGTTCCCACTTGAGAGAAAGTAACACATTACTATGTGCTTTTGTTTCTCCAAAAAGCTTCCCAGGACAGCCTTTGGCAGTGTTCTGAGGAGGGTGAATGAAAATGAGAAACGGCGCGATAAAAAGAGGATGCTTCCATCACCAACTGACTCGTCATGGGCATTTTATTGACACTCTGCTGTTACATGGGGAAGCAAGGTGTTGAGGCACGGAAAGGAATCCATGAATGTGGATGCCACAGCGTCACTTCAGCTCTGGGAGCTGTAAGCCTTGGGAAACAGCAAAGAGGGAGAGCCAACAAAGGGACAGACCAGCTCACTAGGAACAGAGAGAGACGCTAAGAGGTTCATATACTTGGGACCCTGAGAGAGAGAGGGAGGGGCTAAATGACATTATCATTTCAACTTTTCAGGGGTCATGATGTGCCTTCGGAGAACAGGAAAAACAAACTCTTTAGAGAATCAATAGAGTCACAATGACTGAGCATTATAGAGTGCCGCGAATAAAAGTCAGGAGACAGAGTATTAGGGTTCCGGCAGGCAAGCAGGGGGTGGCCATAATATGGGCTTGCCATTTATCAAGTCACAACTACCACCCATCTGAACTATGTTGAATTCTTACAGGACAGGTCACAGCAGCCACCATAGGAGATAAGCATTATTATTATCATCGCCGTGACAAACAGAGGACATGGAGGCTTCCAGGTTAAACTTGTCTCAGTCTCCCAGCCAGCAAGGAGCAGGGGAGGGAGAGGAACCCAAATCTGCCAGCTCTGAAGTCAGGGTGCTTTCCACACCCCTGCCACCATGACACGTTTCACAGAAGGATCAGATGAGGACGACTTGGGCATTCGTTAGTATAGTTCCAGTGGGTGTCATGGAACACAGGTTCAGGTTTGAGTATGCTGTTTGTAAGTCTCACGGGAGAATATTGGGTCCTGTTACCTAGAAGTCTCTCTCCTAGAACAGGTTATTATGTGAAGTGATTTTTTTGGGGGGTGGTACTAGGGATTGAACACAGGACTCTGTGCATGCTTACACAAGTGATTCTGAGTTGGGATATTTCTCTGTGGAAGGAGCTGGCAGGGGAGTCAGACTCCAGGGACATGTCCCTAAGGAGTGGTCCTAGACAGTAATCCGGTAGTTGGGGTGGACCTGGGGCCTGACATCACAGACCATACCAAGAAGCTGAGCCAGGACACGCTCCCGATTTCTTTGCTGGGAGCTCTGCATGCCCTGAACCTGACGTCTGGTGGCCTGTTCCACTTCAGCAGACAGGTTCCCCTGAGAGCCCATGGCCTGGGGAGGGGAAAGGTGGAAGAGAGAGAGAAAAAAGCAGAAACAGAGAAAGAAAGGTCCCAGCATGTAGAAGGAAGGATCCTGAATGAGGCCTGGAAAGCCTTTCAAAACTAATCCCATCCCACAAAAACAACTAGATACCAAACAGGTCAGCACAATCCCGATTTCTAAGACTTGACATGCAACCTCACCCAAAAAACACTTTAAATTCCCACCCTCTCACCACAATGGCCATAAAATTCTGTGCCCCCCCATCAATGTTGCCACATTCCACACAGACTGTGAAGGCCCCCCCATCGATGTTGCCACACTCCACACAGACTGTGAAGGCTCCTCCCCCCCATCGATGTTGCCACACTCCACACAGACTGTGAAGGCCCCCCCCATCGATGTTGCCACACTCCACACAGACTGTGAAGGCCCCCCCCATCGATGTTGCCACACTCCACACAGACTGTGAAGGCTGCTCCCCCACCACCATCGATGTTGCCACACTCCACACAGACTGTGAAGGCTGCCCCTACAAGTTGCACATGTCCTTTAAAATCCCCAGACCGGGTCAGGCCCCCTTCAGTCCTCTGACACCCTAGGTTCTTGTTGAATCACCTACATACATCCTACAGGAGGCCTCCACTTATTTGCACCCGGGTGGGTCCATCCCTGCTCCCCCGCCACTCACCGCCTGCTGCTTGCTCTGGAACTCCTGCTCACGCTCCCTGCGGTACTGCTCCACCTCCATTTGAGCCTCCTCCTTGGCTTGCTTCAGTCGCCGGGCCTTCCCTAGAAGCAGGACAGTGGGTATAGACCCCCCCCCCCCGCGCCCACATCCAGGTGTGTTAGTAGGAATCAGTACCCTCCAGAAAGTTATTCAGCGTCCTGTCAACCAACCAAGTGCTCGATTCTAAAACCCACCCATTTCTTCTATCCTAACAAGCTGTCAGCCCCCCGCTCCCGGGTCTGTCTCCATTATCCTTGGGTTTTCCTAAGGACTCAAATTCCGCTGTCCACTGCCTCTAAATTCTCCTTCCAGAGCCCTAAGAGAGGAAAGAGGAGGCTCACTCTTCCTGGCATCGGCCACCTTCTCCGCTGCCCGCTTCTCAGCTTGGAGGAGCTGCTGGATACCCTGGGACTGACTGGCCATTTTTGTCGCTGGAGAAGATGCTGTTTCGAAGGCGACCAAGGTACCAGATGGCTCCCACCCTCCAGCGCCTCCTCCTCCGGCCCGTTGCTGCAGTCCTCCACTCCCCCTGGGTCTTAGTGCTCCCGTTTTCTCTCCGTCTTCTGCATCCTCACGCCGATGGCTGGTCCTGCTCTCGGGCCTCAGTGTGGTAGTGCCCCAAACGGCCGCCCGGGGGCAGCAGAGACCAGGCCCGGTGCTGGCGGGCTGCAGCAGGTGCAGGGCGTCGCCAGGGTCACCAGGGTCACCAGGGCCGGGGGACGGGAGGGTGCAGAGCTTGGCTGGTGCTCTCAGAGACACAAAGACGACGAGAATGGTGTGGGAAGGTAAGGATGTGCCTGGAGAACAGTGCGATGGTTGCACACTCCCACTCCCCTGTCTCCGCGCCCCCTCCGCCCCACCCCCTCTTCAGTCTCCATCTTTTTTTTTTTAAACATATTTTCCAAGTCCGAACGTGTGCACACATTTCACCTGCCCTGCCCTACGTTTGTCTTCGTAGTGTCGTCTCATGGACTTTTTTTTCTTTTGGGATCTACCGGTCTATTTGGCCTCATTATGATTTTTTTTCTTTCTTTTTTGTTTTGTTTTGTATTTCGAGACAGGGTTTCTCTGTGTAGCCCTGGCTGTCCTGGAACTCTGTAGACCAGGCTGGCCTCGAACTCAGAGGGCTGGGCTTAAATTTTTTTTCATTGTAATTTACCTTTACTTCCTCTCTCTGCTCTCTTTCTCTTTTCATTTTTTTTTATTAATCCGTTATTAAATTATCCCTTCTCTCCTGGAGAGGGGTCCGAGATAAACCGCAAACTAGCCCTCCAGCCTCCGGGCCCCAGATTTGCCTTCGTAACCCCGCGGCTAATCCTGTCTTCCGGTTTCAGGAGGACCCTGTGTTGCAATCGCCTTGTTTCCCCTCCGGAGGCCTAAGCACGAGTCACCCACTCGGGGCGGAACGATTTCCGGGATGGGCCTCATAGTTCATTTCCGCCCGAAACTCGCGTCTGCGCTTGCGCCATTTCCGCCAGCCCCGAGGGCCGCCTCCCTTCCCGCCTCCCTTCCGGCAGCGTCCCAAGCCCAGGCCTCGGCCCACAGCTCCGAGGGTCCTCGGGGGCGGGGAGCAGGTCCGATGAGTGGCCCCTCCCCGCAGGCCCCCGAGGAAGGAGCCTCTACGTCTGTCTGCCGGGTACATTGTATTCGCTTTCTAGACCACTCTTTGCGTTTGTGACTTCTTTCCAGTTCAGACTTTGGCTGATGAACATTTCCCCCATCTGGCCTTACTTGGTTTTTTTTTTAACCCTCCGAAGTTCAGAATTAACTTTTTTTTCCTTGGGCCCTGGAGCCTTAAAACAATTATGTATCATCTTCTCAAAAATGACATCAAAACTCTAATCTGTGGCCCCGGCCCCTAACTCCATCCTCCCCGACCCCCCAACCTGTCATCTGGTAAGGGATGAGAGTTTAGAACAGGCTTCATCTCTGGCTGGAGATGTGACGGGGGAAATGGGAGGCAAAGGGAGGCAGGAGGGCATGTCTGCGGTGGAGGAAGAGCCGAGTTTGGTCCTCACGCTGCCGTCTCCCACTTCTTCCGCAGCCCAAGAGTTCCATGGCCTCTGCTTCCCGCCGGCAACGCCGAGAGCGACGCTTCCGGCGGTACCTGTCTGCAGGACGGCTGGTGCGAGCCCAGGCTCTCCTCCAGCGGCATCCCGGCCTCGATGTGGATGCCGGGCAGCCCCCTCCTCTCCACAGGGCCTGTGCCCGCCACGATGCCCCGGCCCTGTGCCTGCTGCTGCGTCTCGGGGCTGACCCTGCCCACCAGGACCGCCATGGCGACACGGCGCTGCACGCTGCCGCCCGCCAGGGCCCTGATGGTGAGTGGGTCGGCGGGGACCGGTCCCGAGAGGCCGATCAGATCGATCTGGAACGAAAGCCAGATATTGATTGGGAATAAAGGCCTGGTGTGGTGGCGCACACCTTTGACCTGAGCACGCAGGGGCAAGAGGATCTCTGTGAGTTCGAGTCCAGGCTAGCCTGGTCTACACAGTGAGTTCCAGGATTACATAGGAAGATCCTGTCTCCGACAACAACAAAAATAGTTGGGAAATAAGCTAGTTATTTGGTCCCTGGGACCTGTTGAAGCAGTTGACCTGGTTGGCTTTGGGGGGCAGGGGGTTGTTGTTTTGAGCTGGGGTCTTGCTGTGTATTTCAGGCTGGCCTCATGCACACAGTCTTACTCAGCATCCCAAGTGCTGAGATTGGCCGCAGGAGCTACCACATCCAGCCACCCAGCCTGCAGCCTTTTCTTTGGTTTCCTATCTTTCAGGGTCAGTGATTACTTTGTTTCTTTGATGGCTCTTTGCCTGTGGCACAACCTTGCGGTTGATTGTGCTGGGTCAGATCTCACCTCTAAAAAGTTTGCCCCCCCTCCACCCCCAGCTTAGATGGCTTCTCTCTGTGTGGAATTAAAACAATAGCAACCTTTGTGATTCTCCACAAACGTCTTACAAAGTATCTGTGCTGTGAGTCACATGATGAGCTGAGAGGGCCAGCTGATGTGAAACCTGGTGTGGAGTTATGTTGGAGATACGCATTCATATGTTATGAACCGATTTGTGATCCTTGGTTTATACTTCTGAAATACAGAAACACCCTGGGGACCAGTCTCCACCAAAATTCTGTAACAAAAATGTAAGTTAAAGCTGGTGGCGCAGGCCTTTAATTCAGCACTTTGGCGACAGAGGCAGTCTGGACTCTGAGCTCACCACCAGCCTAGTCTACATAGCGAGTTGCAGGACAGCCGAAGCGACATTGGAGAGAGACCCTTTCTCAAAATAACAACAGAACATCTCAAATCAGTAGTAATGGCTTCACAGTGAGAACAGCTCCCTTCTGTTCTCCGGTTTGCACAGATAACCTGCCCAGAAACAGCCTAGCCACCTAGAAATACGGGAAATTACAATGCATTCCTGTAATCCCGGCACTCAGGAGCATGGATGGGGTCCACCTCAAGGCCAGTCTGGTCCAGGCCTAAGATTCTCAAAAAACAAACAAGCAAATCTAACTTAAATGGAGGCCATGGTGATGAGTTTATCCCCAGCTTCCCCAGCCGGGTGACCTCCTCTAGACAGCATACTTCCAGATGAGCGCTATCAAATCCCATGTTCTAGAAACAACACGGAAGGTGTTGCTTTTGCAGTGATAGCAGAAGCAGCTCCGTGAAGAGCAGCCTCTTGACTAGGGAGGGGAGGTCGGTCCACCAAGAGACTGACTGCCTTCAGAACACTGGAGAATGTGAACAGCACCAGCCGCCTGCCCCTTTTCTCATCCCCAGCTTGGCCTCTCCTTAGTCCAAAAAAAAAAAAATCCTTTTCTTTAATTCTGCTTCACACAAGTAAAGCAGACTTGCATATGCTGTAGTTAGTTAGTTAGCTTAAAGAGAGGGAGTTTGCCAGATGCCGGCTGCAACTGGCTGGCTGATTTTTTTTTTTTTTTTTAATAAGGTACCTGAAGAGAAAAACTTCAGAATTGCCTGAATAAGTCTAGCAGAGTCTTTATTTACCACCAGAGGGACTGTTCCAACCAGTCTTGACCTCCAATTTGTTTGAGTTTTTAAAGGCAAAAAATGCAGTCGTGATGTATATACAGAAAGGCAGCTCTGGACATCTGCAGCAAGCAAGTTGTTTACCGAAGTGGAGAGACAGACAGTTAACCTTTAGTTTAGGGTCACTTTGTATGGAGTTTATGGCTGCTCCAGAGACCAGTTCACCATAGAAATTTATGTCTGGTCTAAGTGACCAGAGACCAATTGTAACCCAAGGTAGATTTAGCCATTAAAATATTCTTAGGAACGCCTTCATGAGCCTCGACGGTGACAAAGCATGGTGGGGCAGCTGCTTGCGGATTCTGGGACCCGCACCCTTACCTTGGGGCGCCTGTTTGCGCTAAAATGGAGATTGTGATGGGCACACGACCCACAGATTAGCTGCAGTTTTGCTACTTAATGATAAGTATGCCGTTTTTATGTGGTTCAGGTAAACTTGGCTGAGCAGCTCCTGATGATGGAGAAGGTACTTCCATCGTTGTGTTGGATTCTGAGAAGCATGTGAAACATTTCACACGCGGTGACGAAAGTGAGGCCTTTCTAGGAGGTTCAGGAACTTGTCTGAAACGTCACAGTTGGGAGGTTGCCATGTCCCAAAGAGGAAACCCGCCCGCCCTCCCGCCCTCCCGCCATGCTTCTCTCCCAAACCCTGGCCGCCTCTCGGGCTGTTTCCCGCCACTTGCCAGTCCCGCCACCAGGTGGCGCTCTAACTCTGGAGTCTCCATCTCATTAAGCCGCCAGCTGCTTTGGAGATCGTTCAGTTAGTAAAGTGAAAAGGTCTTCATTGAGCAGGTTAAGTGACTGACTCTCCTGCAGGAGTCTGAGGGATGCCCAAGTTCACTGAAGTGACTGGGCGGGTTTGTCATACCCACTGGAGGCCAGCAGAGGGCCTCCCCATTTTAGGCTTTGGTAACTTTGGAGCGTCTGGGAGAGAGTCCCGGCTGTCAGACCCACAGAGCACGTGAGCATAAACACTGACAGACAGCATTTTTCTCAGGGTTTTTGGGTAAAAAACAAACAGTCGTTCTTGTGTTTGGGTTGTCCCGAAGGTTTGTTGTTCTGATGGTTTTGTTTGCTTGTTTGGTTGTTGTTTTTTTTTTTGGTTTTTTTTTTTTTTTTTTGGTTTTTCGAGACAGGGTTTCTCTGTGTAGCTTTGCACCTCTCCTGGAACTCACTTGGTAGCCCAGGCTGGCCTCGAACTCACAGAGATCCGCCTGGCTCTGCCTCCCAAGTGCTGGGATTAAAGGCGTGCGCCACCACTGCCCGGCTTGTTTGGTTGGTTTTTTAAGACAGGGTCTCTGTGTAGCCTTGGCTGTTCTGGAACTCGATATGTGGACCAGGCTGACCACAGATGTACAGAGATGTATCTACCTCTGCCTGTGGATCCCCCTGCCTAAGTTTGGGGGTTATAGGTGTGAGCCAGCTTGTTGTAGTTTTCTTTTTTCATGGTTCTGGGACTTCGACCCAAGGCCTCATACATGCCGGCAAAGCACTGAGCCTCATCCCCAGCCCTCCTTTTTCTCTTTTTAGTTGGAGATAGTGGCCACACATGTAGCCTCGGCAGCTCTGACCTTGTGGTATTCCTGACTGCGTCCCCAGTAGCGGGGCCACAGCCCGAACCTCCGGGCTTGTTTTATCTTTATCTAACACTCACTGCACTTGTGTTCTGTGTCAGCACAGCAGCAGACGTACCATGCACTGGGTCTACATGCAGAGGCAGCCGTGTTTTAAAATGACTAGGCACGGTTTATGTTCCACCTGCCCTTCCAGCCTCGCCTTCTGCACACCCACAGATCTGTCACCCTAGTGCAGGTTTCACGAGCCTTGCCCTGTCAGGAAATGGGTGGTGAAAGAATTTACCAGAGCCAGGCATGGTGGCTCGTGCCTATAATCCTAGCACCCAGGAGGCTGAGGCAGGAAGATTAAGAGTTAAGGCCAGCCTTGGCTACACAGGCAATTCAGGGCCAACCTGAGCTGCATGAAACCCTGTGTGGGGGGTGGGGGAGCGACCCGAGGCAGCAGAGAATTTATTGCTACCTATAGACAGTGGGGAGGAGCTGTCTACATGTAGGCATCCAGGTCTGTATGGGCAGTGGGAAGCGTTTTCACACCATGGTGCCCTGGTTGTGAAGGTCTTATGGGATGGGCACTTGTGTGGGTTCATGTCTGGCTGCTTAGGTGGACATTCATTCCTTTATTGTGGGATACATTTTACAGCATAAGTTATTTCTTCTTGGGACTGTATCTCTGTAAGATGTCATGAGTTACTAGGGGTCAGACTAGACATCCTGAGCCTGCTCTTTAAAGAGAATTCTCTACAGTGATATCGTGACACCCTAAGATAGACTGCAGCCAAGGCTCATTAGGCTTAATTATTCTTCATTTAAAATTTAGTTTTATTTTTCTATCTGTATAGAGGTCAGAGGATACAGTTGGCTGTTGGTCCTCAACTTACATTGTGTTTGAGATGGTGTCTTGTTTCTTTTTGACTGTGAACACCAGACTAGCTGGTCTGTGAGTCTGTGTGGACGCCTGTCTCCACGTCTTACCTTGCCGTGGGAGCACTGGGATCACAGGTGTGTGCTGCAGCGGCTGGCTTTATATGGATGCTGGGGATGCAAGCTCAGGGTCTCCCGCTTCGTGGCAAGCATTGTACTGTACCAGCGGTTCACTCCCAGCCCCACAGTTAACACAGCAGCAGCCCTGCTTGAGCCCCGCCCAGTGCAGCTACCCATCACAGAACAGCATCCACACACCCCCCACACACAAGGTTCACAGAAGATGGAGGCCACCTTCTGGACTTGCTTCAGGGCTGAGGGGGCCCTTGCTCGCAATGCTAATTTGTCATAGAGTCCTGAGACCACAGGATATCAAATATTCTGGAGAGGGGAGGTGGAGCTGCTGTTGAAGGAGACCAGAGGTCAGACCGTGACACTAGATCAGGAGGTCCTGGGTGGCAGGGGTGCGATCAGTGGCTGCTACCCTGAGGCGGCACCATCTGGAGCCGAGACCTGAAATCAGGAAGACGTTGATTTACCAGGAGGTTGAGTAAGCCTGGGCCAAAGACACAACGCAGAATTAAACACAAGAAAGCGTCTGTGAGAGCTGCTAGGAGTTGTCCCAGCCAGGAGGCGGGTTGAGACCTCTGGGTTAGACAGGGACAGCTGTTTTGTTTCTGGCTGCAATGAAGGGATGAGAAACATCTGCACACCAGGGGGGAAAGGGAGGCAGCACCGAGGGAAGGTCATGTGGTTCTGAGACTTGCAATAA